TGCCTCACAGGGCCAACAGGAAGCAGTGAGACATCTGACATGGTGCTTAACCAAGAAAAATGATGAGAGAGAAAGAGAGATTGAGAGACCAGTCTCCAAAGCCTTTATTGGGTTGAGCATGTTATCCAAGCAGGTTTCCCTTCGAAGTTTTGATTGGTGGTACAGAACAGGCAGATGAGAGTTCTGTGGAGTCGCGCTGTGATGTGACTAAGAGGTGGTCATAGCCACCCATTTATGGTGGGACCTTGGGGTCAATGGGGCAACTCGAGTAGGCTGTATCCAGTTATCCCTTAGGGAGTTGGTCACCAGGAGGTAGTTGTATAAGGCCAATATCTGGATTGGCCACCTTGGGGAAAAGGAGGGAGGCAGAGTAACTAGGAACTCTGTTAAGAGTGACTAAACCCTAGCTCTGGTATGAGAAAGTCCAACATATTCAAAATGGATGCCCAGGCAACAGAAAATTTTAATAATTCACTACAGCATTGGAGCCCCACATTCCTTTCTCCATTTCTTGCTCTATGCATTTCTTCTATTTGATCCTGAGTTGTATCCTTTTTTAAAAAATATTTATTTTTTAAAATTTATTTAAAATGCAGAGTTATAGAGAGACAGAGGTAGATAGAGAGATCTTCCATCTGCTGATTCACTCCCCAAATGGTGGCAAAGGCCGGAGCTGGGCTGATCTGAAGCCAGAAGCTAGGAGCTTCCTCCGCGTCTCTCACGTAAGTACAGGGGCCCAAGCACTTGGGCCATCTTCTGTTGCTTTCCCAGGCCATAGCAGAGGGCTGGATCAGAAGAGGAGCAGCCTGGACATGAACAGGTGCCCAAATGGGATGCCAGTGCCACAGGCAGAGGCTTAGCCCACTCCGTCACAGTGCTGGCCCTGTGTTCAGACTTTTAAAAATATTTATTTGAAATGCACAGCATCAGAGAAAGGAACAGATATCCTCTGTCTGCTGCATATTCCCCAAAAAGTTACAATGGCCGGAACTGGATCAAGTCAAACCCAAGACTGTGGATCTGCATCTGAGTCTCTCACATGGGTATCAGGAGCCCATGGATTTGGGCCATCTTCTGCTGCGTTCCCAGGCACATTAGCAAGGAACTGGATAAGATGTGCCACAATGCCAGCCCCTATCTGTTCTGGCTTGACAAATATATATACCTCTGTAATCAACTCATTAAACATTTGCATTATATCAAAAACATTCCTGTGTTTTAAGCCATGGCTTGCAATGCCTACATCCCATTTCAGAGTGCTGGTTTGAGTCTTGGCTCTTCTGCTTCCAATCTACCATCCTGCTAATGCACCCTGGGAGGCAGCAGATGATGGCTCAAGCATTTGGGTCCCAGTCATACACATGGGAGACACAGATGGATTTCCTGGCTCCTGGCTTCAGCCTGGCCCATTTCTGGCTATTGCAGGCATTTGGTGAATGAACCAGCAGATGGAAGATCTTCCTGTTTCTCAAACTTTCAAGAAGATAAAAGTAAATAAGCTTTAAAAAGTATCTCTTCTATTCAAAAACATCTCCAGCCCCAGGCAACTTTTTTTTTTTTTATTTTGTTCACTCTAGCTTAATTTTCTTTTTCTAGAGTTTCATATAACAGTAATCATGTACTACTTTTTTTTTTTTTTTTTAAGTCTGGCTTCTTTCAGGCACCATACAGTTTGAGATTCATTCATGCTGCTTATATAGTGGTTTATTCCTTTTTATTGTTGAGCAATATCCCATTATACCAATACAATACAATACAATTGGTCTCTTCTGTGTTGATGGATGGATATATGGGATATTTTTAGTTTGGGATTACTATGACTAAAACTGCTATGAATATTTGTGTCCAAGTCTTTGTGTGAAATATATTTTCATTTCTTGTCCTTAAATAAGAATGGAATTTCTGGATCTATTGGCAAGTACGTGTTTGTAAGAAATTGCCAAATTATTTTCCAAAGTACTGTTCTCTTTAACTTTCTGTGAGAATGCCAGTTGCTTCACATCTTTGCCAAGGTTTAAAATTATTAACCACTTTAGCAGTGGTAAGTGTAGTATAGGATATCTCACTGTAGGATTAATTTGCATTGCTAAATGACTAAGAATGAATACCTCTGTTAGCTTCTTTGTAAAGTATCTATTCAGATCTTTGCTCACTTAAAAAATCAGGCTGTTTTTATTGAGTTGCAAGGATTCTTTATGTATCAGGTATGCAAGGTCTTTTCAGACACACATATTGTGAATACTTCCACTCTTTAAATGTTTTTGGAAGAACAGACTTTTACATTTTGATGCTGAATCTGCCTTTTCTTCTTAGTACTTTTTTGTACCTAAGAAATCACCTTCCCCAAGGTCACAAAGATTTTGCTGCATTTTCTTGTACAAGTATTAGAGCTTCAGCTTTTCTATTTAGGGGCCTGATCTATTTCAAGTTACTTGTCTCTGTTGTAAGGTAAGGGCCAAGATTCATTTCTTACAAGAATATTCAATTGCTCCATTTAGTGAAAAGATTGCATTTCACACTGAATTACTTTAGCTTCTTTTTAGAAATGGACTGTATACACATGAATGCATATGAGGACTCATTTTGTTTTGTGGACCAGTAGGCCTTTCTGATGCCTACTACCTTGTACGGAAAACTGTAGTTTTAGAGTAAGTTTTAAAATCAGGTGTGCATGTGCTCCAACTTTGTTCTTTCTATGCATTTCCATCTAAATCTTAGCCATTAAGTGGTCAAATAAAAAAAAAAAAGTCCTGTTAGGATTTGGGGACAAATGTCATTTAACAGAGATGTCTTCCATTTCAAGAACATGGATTATCTATATTTTTCATTTCTCTCAACAGTGATTTTTATTTTAAGCAACGATTTATAATTTTCAGTATACAGTTCTTGGTTTTATATATCTGTGTGTAATTTATGTTTTGTGTATACTTTATGTTTTGGATGTTGATGACCATAGTACAGCCATACAGTTATTTTATATTTCATTTTCCAGTTCTTTGCTAGCATACAGAAAAAAAATACAGATTTTCATTACATTGCCACTAGTTTCCAGTAGCTTTTTCTTTAGGCTTCCTCATGATTACCAGTCTTTTAAAATTATGCAGTGTTGTCATTTGCAAATAGTTTTATTTCTTCCTTTTCTACTTCAATGCCTTTTTAGATGAGTTCATAGTTTCCGGTAAGGCTGAGCACCCTCCAGCTATTACACCTGCCTCCTATCTCGCTCTTTCCCCACCGGAACTTCTTGCTGAAGGCCTTCTAAAACCCCCTAGAACGCCGGCGGGCCCTCCGGGACGAGGCTCCCAGAGCTAAGACCCGGGCGCACGGGGTCCCGGTTCCTGCCCTTCGGTGCGCTCAGTCGCTGGCGTCCACTCCACACCCGAGGAGCTCCTGAACGGGATCCTGGCTGCCCGTGGCTGGGCTCGGGGGCCAGGAGAGCCGCCTAACAAGCAGGGGACTTCCACCGACCGGCGCAGAATTTCTCTTTCGGGATGAAGTGAAGGGAGGTGGCGGTGGGACGGTTCCAGGCCTGTTCGCACTTTTTTCATGGATACAGTCACTTAAATCTTCCCACAGCCCTCCACTGTGGCTCAAAGACAAAATTCTTCCTGAAGAAACTAGTTCCCTCCGCTAATAAGATGGGCGGAGTCAGGGATCTGGGGATTGGATTTCAGTAACCCGACTCCAGAGCCTAACTCAGGGAAGCGCCGTTTGGAAAACGCGTGGACTCAGGGAGGAACGGGATACGGGGCTCGGAGGGGCTCGCTTCCCCGCGGGCCACACGGCGCTCTCGCTGGCCCCAGGGCTTGGAACGGCTCTTCCCCGCCGCCTGGCCCCGGCCTCGTCCCCGCCAGCTTCCCGACGACACGTCGGCGCGGAACTGAAATCCGTGCCACCAGGGCAGCGTCTTCTGCAGCAGTGCAGGCGCGCGCGACACGCTCGCATTCTCCCCGCCCCGCCAAAGAGCACACGGCGCGACGTGGCCGCTCGCCTCCGCTCCGCAAAGTGTTCGGCGGAGGCTCTCGCCACCGGCTCCCGCACCCACAAAAGCACTTTCCCCGCGCCTGGCCCCGGGCAGCCGCACTCGCCAAGGCGCACTTCCCAGGGCACCTGCCGTCTGCGCGTCTCTCTAGGAACACGTCCCCCTGCTGCTAGCACGCGGGGAGATTTTTTTTTCTACCAAGCCGCCTACAACGCCTCAGCAGCGGCTCCCGCGGCCCAGAGCCCCCTGTGTCCAGGGCGGCCGCCCCCGCCCCCGGCGCGCGGCGCTCCGAGAGTCTTGAGCAGGGGTGGACGGGGGCGCTAGGTGACGGGGGGAGGCTACTCTTCCCCCTGGCGGGGCTAAGAGACGGAGTTTATGTCCCTCGCTGGCGGCACATGGGGCGGCTGACCGAGGCGGCGGCGCGCGCGGCAGGGCCCCCTCCCACTCCCCTGCCCCTCTCGTCCACGGCCCTCGGGTGCGTGGCCACCATGGTGTCCAGCGAGGAGGACGGCACCAACGGCGGCGCCTCGGAGGCCAGCGAGGAGAAGGAGGCCGCCGGCAAGAGGCGGCGGCGCGGCTTGCTGGCCACCGTCTGGCTCACCTTTTACAACATCGCCATGACCGCGGGGTACGTGCGCCCCCGCCGTCTCCCTCGCCCCCGGCTCCCAGGCCTCCGCTAGCTTCCGCGCCGGGGACCTGAGGGGCTCGGGGCGGGGGCCGGGCTGGCCGGCGGGCGGGGCTGGGCGCGGGGGGCGAGCGGGCCGGGCGCGGGCGCGCGCGGCGGTTCGCGGGTGGTCGCGGCGCGGCGCCGGGGCGCGGGCGGCCGGCGTGGGGGAGGGGCGCGGGCGCCGCCACGGCCGCGGCCGCCGGGTTGAATGGAGCGGAGCGGGGCGGGGGGGCCGGGGCTCGGCTCGCTGGGCATTGCCTAATACGGTGCACGGCGTGGCGCGGCGGCCGCGGGGCGCGGGCCGGAGGTTAAGTATAGACCCGGGCAGGAATGCGGGGCCGACCCGCGGGGGAGGCGACTGCGGCGCGGCCGCCCCCGGTGCCGCCGCCTCCGGCTGCTGTGCAAGAAGCGCCCGGGTCCGGCCAACCCCCCGAGCGCGGAGCTGTCCGGCCGGTGGCCCAGATCCGTTTCCTGGGCACTTCCTCGTGCGGGCAGAGTTTTCTGAACTCTGTTTCACCGTGACTTTTTTTTTTTTTTTTTTTTTAAATCACAGTAGGTCCCAGAGTTTCTCAGTTGGGACCCTACCTTATGGGAGCCTGGCCGCCGTGTCCAGCATCTTTAGGGCCTCATGCTCCCTGACTGATACCCCGAACGTGTATCCTGACTAACGTTACACAGTGACTTTAGCTCTTCAGTGAGCTGTCGAAGTGAGTTCTGTGTCAGCTGCTTATCAGAACCTGCTGGGAAAATGATTTTTCCTTTCTAAATCGCACTGGCTTTTAAAACGGCAGTTTTCCCATTATCACACGAAGTATTATGAAGTATGCGGAGGGGAAAGTTAAAACTGTTTTTCAGTGTTTATAAGAAGCTGATGGACAAGAGTTTAAGTTGCCGAGGGTGGTATTGAGTATCTGTTAGGTGCTTAGCGCGCGGTGCTGAATACCACACGTGGTAAAATGAACCGTGCTGGTTATTTTAGTTACCGCGTTTTTAGTCCTCTCTAGTCCTGTGAGGGGTACGTGGTGTTAGCATAGATTGGGAAACTGAGGCACAGAGCGATGAAGTCCCTAGCAGCAGATCCCAGGCAGCCAGTGTCATCTGTGGATTCCGACTCCCTTACTTTGACTCCAGGGCTGTGCTACTTTTCATTTTCCCGCCTGCCTTAATTTTATAATCTCACGTGCTGCTGCCTTTAGATGGCAGTTGGAGATGCAGGACCTCTCGGTGGTAGTCTCCTCCCGTCAACATTTCTGGCACACTTGCCATGTGTTAACTGGTTTAGCTGTCTCTTTTTTTCCAAGTCCACTCTCCATTTCTAAAGCCAGGTTACCATTTCAGAAATGAAAATCAGCGCCTAATTCCAGTGTTGAGTCTTTGGCGACTCTCAGTCACTTCCACCCTAATCTAAGGGACTTGGGTTGTCACTCGGGAGTGTTTGCAGTATGCTCCCTGCTTGTCCTTTCTGATTTTCTTGCATGTGACATCTCTGACACATTTTCAGAAACACCACGTTTTCATGGCTCCCCCCATCTTTGCACAGCCTGTTCACTTCTGGTGTAGTGTCCTCATTTCTCCCAAGACTTCTGTCTAATCAGTCAGCCTCTTTGAACTTCACTAGGTGTTCTCCCTCACCCTGAGCAGAATTAAGTGATTTCTCCTTTTTTAAAAAAATTTTTAAAATTTATTTGAGTGGCAGAGTTACAGAGAGAGGGGGGAGAGAGAGAGGTATTCCATCTACTCATGCACTCCTCAAATAGCCACAATGGCCAGAGCTAAACAGATCTGAAGCCCGGAGCCAGGAGCTTCTTCCTGGTCTCCCACAGGGATGCAGGGGCCCAAGCACTTGGGTCATCTTCAACTGCTTTCCCAGGCCATAAGCAGCAAGACTTGAACCAGCGCCCATATGGGACATTGGCATTGCAGGCAGCAGCTTTAACCACTGCGCCACAGTGTTGGACCCACGCATTGGACATTTTAAATGAGATACATTCTAGAAATAGACATGACCTGCTAGCCTGGTAAGGTTTCTTTATTGAATTGAAGGATGGTGTTGGAGAGCAGAAGTAAATAAGGTTGGGAAAACCATAGTGTTGAAACTGAGACAAAGACACACATTTCATGGGGGTGGGTTCTGTTTACTCATTTAACTCACTTGCTTATTTCTCTTTTAGCAGAACTTTAGAGTTTTTTTTTTTTTGTAATTTTGAAGACAATAAAATAGTACTGAAGAATTACCATAAATATAATTACATAAATGTGAAAAGGGACCTAATTCTGTAAACCTAGTATAGCCACTCATTTTTTATCATCTTTCATATGCATATTTAACTGTCTTCAAGTTATAATGAAATCTTCAAGTGTATTTTACTTTTGTGTATTTTACTAATTCGCCATTGCTTATTGTCTGCCATCCCCATTAGGGTGTAAACTCCTTGAAGCATTCAATAAGTACTTATTGAATGAATGAATACATACTTTAAAGGATGGTTATAATACCTGCTCTGTTGTATTTTTCCTGTTTTCTATTTTCATTTAACTGTCAAGTATTTCTATATAGTTTCCATAATTATACATAAGAGTGTATAGAGTTCATGTATAATAATGGATTAAATAATGTCGCTATTTGCTTTTATTTGTTGTTGAAGTCCTAGTAGTAGAATTAACACCTTTAAAGGATCTCTGAATTTTTTTTTTTTTATTTGACAGATAGAGTTAGACAGTGAGAGAGAGAGAGACAGAGAGAAAGGTCTTCCTTCCGTTCGTTGGTTCACCCCCCAAATGGCCGCTACAGCCAGAGCTATGCCGATCCAAAGCTAGGAGCCAGGTGCTTCCTCCTGGTCTCCCATGCGGGTGCAGGGACCCAAACACCTGGGCCATCCTCCGCTGCACTCCCGATCCACAGCAGAGAGCTGGACTGGAAGAGGAGCAACTGGGACTAGAACTCGGCGCCGTAGGTGGAGGATTAACCAAGCAAACCATGGCACCAGCCACGGTCTCAGAATTTTTAGGGAACTAGCTAATAGCAGGTTCTTGGTTAGGGAAGTGAGCATTTTTCTTTCTCTCTCATTTTGCTTATCAACTCGAGCCCACATGTGTAAGTGCATCATCCTATGTCATGTGAGGTGTGGGAAGCAACTCGGACTAGACTGTTACTGGAATTAAGACTTATTCTATGCATCTGCTCTCCCACAATATGGCGCTGAGAAGGGAGTAACAACTTCTACGCAGCTGCCTCTTGCCAACTTGAGTGATGACCTGCAGGAGCTGATCCTGCTCCTGATTGCAGGAGAGCAGCGTACTCGGCGTGTGGGTAGCAGAGTTGGGATTGGTGGAGGAGGACTATAAAGGAGGAGAGAGACAACATGCACCAGGAACATCTATCTGAAGGAACACCTGAGCAGCCCCCTAGAGAGCCGGCCGGCGGTGTGCCGCTCCCCCGCGGAAGTGGGGAAAGTGGCAGGGGGAACTGCCCTTCCACGGAGGTGGAAGGGACAGTAGCCAACCCAGGAAGAACCAGCAGCAAACCCGGGGAGGGCCGAGCAGACAAAAGAACAGCGCAGGGTCCTGTGTCGTTCCTCCGTGAAGAGGGGGAGCGACAGTGAGGGACATAAACTAAGTGTCTTAGACCCCTCTTTGAAGAAGTGTAACCTGGGATATTTATATAGAAATGCAGTACAAGAATGCTCAACAGAGGTGTCAGGGCAGGCGTATAGGAGGGATCAGAGGAAGGTTTGTGAAGGAGATCATAGTGGTCAGACTGAGCTTTAAGGGTAGGTAGACAAAGATGAAACAGTGCTAGTGAGGGTGCCAGGATGGGAAATTGCTAGACGTCCACTGAGGCGGCAAGAAAGGGCCTGAAACACGGAGTGGAAAATGGAGGTGGACAGGTAGCTCAGGCTAGCGCATGGAGCTTCAGATGTCTTGCTAACAAGCTTGCATTGTAATCTGTGAGTAGGATAAGAAGGTGCTGATTAAAGGTTGTCTCAGTATTTTGTACCCAGGTAGCCTGGGATCGGTAGTCTAATCTTTCTGCCTTAGGTTTCTTCATCAATGAAATTGGAACAAAACCGCTACTTTGCAGGATCATTACAGGGAGTAAAGAGATAATATGAAGTTCTTGGCGGGGTGCCTGATGCACAGGGGGCATTTGAGAATGGTAATTCCCATGTTGAATGGTTAATGTAAAATTGCACTTTATGCAGAAGGTGAAGCTATTTTTTTGAAAGATTTATTTATTTACTTGAAAGAGTTACACAGAGATAAGGAGAGGTAGAGAGAGAGGTCTTCCATCCGCTGGTTCACTCCCCAGATGGTTGCAACGGCCAGAGCTGCGCCCATCCGAAGCCTGGAGCCAGGAGCTTCTTCCGGGTCGCCCATGTGGGTGCAGGGGCCCAAGGACTTGGGCCATCTTCTGCTGCTTTCCCAGGACACAGCAGAGAGCTGGATTGGAAGTGGAGCAGCCGGGACTCGAACCAATGCCCATATGAGATGCTGGCTTCACCTGCTATGCCACAGCGTTGGCCCATGAAAGTGAAACTGTTGAAAATATTTTCACACTGTGTATTGTGTGACTTAATAGAGCAGTAAACCCAAGATTTGTTTCCCAAAATTTTAATCGTCATGTCTTTTGATACCTGTAGGATATATTTTATTGCTGAAGAGAGATATACTAGCCTACCACAATTTACTTAACCATTGGCCTGTGATGGACATTTGAGTTCTTTGCAGATTTGGCTCTTACAAGTCAAGTTAGGAACATTCATGTGCAAGTCTGCATACTGACACGTGCTTTCATTTTTTCCTTTCTAAATATCTATGAGTAAAGTGGCTGGGTCATGTGATAGTCCTATGTTTAGTTTCTTAAGAAACTGCTAAGCTGCTCTCCAAAGTGGTTGTACCATTTTACCTTCCTGCTGACCATGAATGAAACTTGAAGTCACTATGCATCCTTGCCAGCACTTGGTGTGGCCAGTCATTGTATCTTGTGTATTGTGTTACCTGATTGTGATTTTAATTTTCATTTCCCCCGTGACTAAAGACACTTTTTTAAAATTTATTTTATTTTTTTTTGACAGGCAGAGTGGACAGTGAGACAGAGAGGAAGGTCTTCCTTTTGCCGTTGGTTCACCCTCCAATGGCCGCCACGGCCGGTGCTCCACGCTGATCCGATGGCAGGAGCCAGGTGCTTATCCTGGTCTCCCATGGGGTGCAGGGCCCAGGTACCTGGGCCATCCTCCACTGCACTCCCAGGCCACAGCAGAGAGCTGGCCTGGAAGAGGGGCAACCGGGACAGAATCCGGCACCCTGACCGGGACTAGAACCCGGTGTGCCGGCGCTGCAAGGTGGAAGATTAGCCTATTGAGCTGCGGCGCTGGCCTAAAGACACTATTTTTTAACATGTGCTCACCTGCTGCTTGCGTATTTTCTTGACTGTAATGTCTTCAAATCCTTTGCCCAGTTTTTTCTTTGAATGGGTTGTTTAATTTCCTGTTATTGAGTTTTAAGAGTTCTTTTTACAGACTGGATATAGGTCCTTCACCAGATAAGTGATTTGCAGATACTTTCTCCCAGTTGTGGTTTGGCTTTATTGTCTTTAACAGTGTTGCTCGGGTGGTCTTTTTTTTTTTTTTTTTTTTTTTTTTTTTTTAATTGTTTTCACAAAGAAACCTTTTACTTAAGGAATACAAACTTCTTGCATTTTATAAGTACAGCTTTAGGAATATAGTGATTAAGGTGGTCTTAATCTTCATGAAGTCAAGTTTATCAAACTCTCCTTTTTCTTTTAAAGATACATATATTTATTTGAAAGGTAGAGTAACAGAGAAGGAGAGATATCTTACACCCACTGGTTCACTCTGTGAATGTTTGTAACAGCCAGGGGACTGGGCAGACTGAAACCAGGAGGCCAGAACTCAGCCTGGGTCTCCCACATGGGTGGAAGGACCCCAGGTACTTGGGTCATCATCCACTGCTTCCCAGGTGCATTAGCAGGAAGCTGGATCAGAAGCAGGACTCTACCCAGGAGTTCTGACCTGGGATTAGGCATCCCAAGCCACAGCTTAAATCTATAGCAGCCCCATACAACAGTTAAGAAAAAAGCCTTATTTATTGACAATGAGTGCCTGTGTACAGGCAGTTAAAATACTCAAGTTGGTTACTAAGTGATAGTATATGTTTAATCTAGGAAAGGTAGATTAGAGGTGGCAGTGAACAATGTGGAAAGTAATGACTGTATGAGTCAGAGATCAAAATGGTTACTTTGAAGGTTTAGAGATGAAGTGACCATTGGGATATCATCATTTTTCTATAGCTATTGAAATGATGGATCCAGGCAATGTTCATCAATGACTGCTAGCGTCTCAGAAAACAGGTGGCCATAATATAAGTGTTCCTTATGGAAGTATTCAACACAACTCATGAATTAGCCTTACCAGAAAATAAAATGTGAATTTGGTTGAGCCTCAAGAATTAACTACCAACTTACAGGCAGTACAGAGGACATGTGTAATAAATGATATGTCATTATCTACTTAACAAAATTCAGATTGTGGATAGCTTTGCAGGAAAAGCTACCTAGTGTCTTCAGACAGATTGCCAGAAACAAAAACAGAGAGGGAAAGAAGGAGGAGCTTCTTCCAGGTCTCCAATGCGGGTGCAGGGACCCAAGGACTTGGGTCATCCTCCACTGCTTTCCCAGGCCACAGCAGAGAGCTTCCCATATGGGATGCTGGCGCTTCAGGCCAGGGCGTTAACCCGCTGTGCCACAGTGCCTGCCCCTCTCTGTATCTTTGTATACGTTTGAAATCTCTCAAAAGTTTATGAAGCATGTTACATGAACAGAAAAAGAGAGGTGTAGAGGTAAATAAGCTTCAAGGGACTGGTCGACTCCAAGAAATGTTAGGAGAAAAGGAAGCCCTGAAGGCAGCTGGAAGATGGAGATCTTCCCTCCGTAAGGCTTGTCGTGGGCACTGGAGACATAATGGAGAGAGAAGTCCCTGGTGTTTAGTAAATTATGGCGTCTAGTGTCTTGTTTTAGCACAGCTTTGTTGTCCTCACTTACTGAGGCAGAAACTATGTCCTATTTATCTCTAATTCCACAGCATCTTAGCTCTGTACCTGGCTTAGCAAAACACGTTGAACCTGAGGATGAATGAGTAAATAAATGAATTAAGCAAGCAAGAAGTCTTCTAACATACTAAACACATATTTTGTTTGTTTCCCGGATGAGAGCCTAGTTCATCAAAGAATTAGGATATCTGTTTGTATTCATGTGATCAATAGCCCTGGCATATTGTGAAAAACAAAGCATGACATTCCAGAAAAAAATTCCTAACTGTAGAAATTCCAGTTGCTTTTGGAGTTTTATTCCAGTTACTAAACTTAGCAGTGAAGGATATCCAAAGTTAGTGAAATGTAAGCACTTTAGGGAAACTTTGATTATGTGTACCCCTAGTAGTGGTGGACTTGGGAAGTGAGCTCTGATTAGTTGCAATATATTTCTGGCCACCTTTATTGAAAAATAAAGGAATAGATGGTTTGATGATCTTTTTTGAACCTCAGAGTGTGTTGATTTATTTTGAACAGTTAGTGATTGGTATTATACTACTAAACTAGTTGGTGCAATACTGCCACCTATGGAACAGCAGTACAATTTGTAATTTAATGCATGGAGTTTCTAGATGAATCCTTTGATGAATTCCTTGGAAAGTTAATAGTTGCTTCTCAGATTTATCTTTTGTAGATGTTTGATTTTGGTTTGCTTAAACACAGACAAGTGCCTGGAAAACGTGAATATTAGAAGTATGGGGACTTGGAATTGAGAAGAATGAAATCACATTTTAATCCTGGAAAGTACCTACACCATGATTCAGATTAGCACCCTCCAGTTAGCCCAGCCCTGAATTCAGTGTTGGTTTTCACGAGATGAAACTAGCAGTTGAATCCAGTGGACTTGCGGTATAATGGAAGGAGAACAGGACTGGGGATGTGGAGGTCTCGGGTTCTGCTTCAGGCCCAGCCAGTAACTTACTCTGAGACTTGGGGGTGAGTGGCTTTACTGTCTGCCTGACGACTGTCGCATCTGTAAGAGTGACCCTCACACTTTTTTGATAGCAAACTATTGGATAAAATATTTGAACATAGGCTCTCCATATAGTTTTATAATGCATTTGTAATTTAAATATGAGCTGTTCTGATTAGCTGATGTTTCAGGACACAGAATATATTTCGAGCCAGAACAGGGCCAGCAGTAAACAAGGGTCATAGTAGTTCCTTTCATAGGATTATCGTGACTATCAAAAGTTAGTGTGTAATGCATTTATAATGGTATCTACAATATAGAAACCATACCGGAAAGATACTTCTTTTTACCAATATTTCTACATTTCACAAATCTTTGTATTTCAGACATTTGCCTGCCTTCTTGTCATATCTGATAAGAGAATCGTTGCTTGTATCTTGTTCCGTGCTAAAGAGAAGTGGCATTTCACCATTCGTATTGTTCTATTAAACTTGGATTTTCACCATAGGCAATCACTGATTTCTTTGTAGGATCCTTTAAAGCTGTTTGCCCATTGGATGAGTGTTGTTTAGTTAAAAAGTTAAAACTGCATATTTTATTATTCGTAAATCTGTTAGGCTGGAGACTTGGGAGACCACTAATCTGAAAGGCTGAGGTGGGCACTTACTTCCATGGGTTTTTTTCTTCAAAGCTGAGGCCAGTTTCTTAAATGTGCCTTTGTAATTGCAAGGGAAACTGGAAAAAAATTACCTCCTGTCAGTGACTAGGAAGAATGAAATGTAGAGTGAGAAAGCTGGTAGCCACAAGTGTTAGCTTATACTGTAAGTCCCCGTAACTCAGGGAACGGAATCCATATGTAATATACAAATGTAGGTTAAAAAGTGAGGGACTGGCTCATGTCCCATCATCTTTGTTAATCCCTTCTGTGATACGGCAGTTGTTTTTATTTAGTGAAACTTATGTCAGTATAAATTGGTGATTCTCTTTAATGAATTTACTTATAGGTGTATGTAATTGTTCATATTTATCCATACACATATAGCTTGATGGCTCTTTAACCTCAAGATATTCTTTTATAGTTGTCAGTGCTTTATGATAAACTTGACTGGGATACATAAAACTAATTCTTCATTTTGTCAGGTGTTTTTTGCTGAAGCCAGAAATGCAATGGACGTTGTTTTGTATGGAGTAGGTGTCTCATATTCTGTTCCTCTCTTGAGATTCAACGTAAAAATACAACTTGTCATTTTTTCCTGTGGGCTTTGAAAAAGTAGAATAATGAACTAAAAGCATAGTAAAAGCATAAATAGTACCATACAAATTGTGGCCTTTGTTTTCAGGAATCAGTGTCTTTGAGATCTTGGTGAAATACGTGCCGTTTCCATTTGTTTCTTTGTTTAAGTTCTGTGTCACTGAGCACTTTCTCATGTGCAGCCATCACTCCTGCACATCTCTGTAACTTTTCATCTTGCAAAACTGAAATGAATTATCCACTTGTGCTCCTTATCCCTCTTAAATATCTCTTCATATTCCTTGTGTTAAGGTCTGTACCCATTAAACACCAGCTCCCCATCGTGCCTTCTGCACCCAGCCCCCTGTAACCACCATTCTGCTGTCTGTGTCTATGAACGTGACTGCTCTCGGGACCTCATAGAACAGAAATCGTGCAGTATTTGTCTTCTTGTGCGTGGCCTGTTTCACTGAGCGTTGTGCCTTCAAGGTTCATCCATGTTGTAGCCTGTGTGATAATTTCCTTCCTTCCTAATGCTGAAAAGCGTCCCAGCATTTAATACATACACACTCCGCTTATCCACATTCAGTCATTGAGGGACACTCGGGTTGCTGCCACCTTTTAAGCTGTTGTGAGTGGTGCTGCTATAATGTATGGATTGGTGGTATTAATTTCATAGACCTTTATAAAATGTTTTAATTTTCTGTAGGTGGTTGGTTCTGGCAATTGCCATGGTACGTTTTTATATGGAAAAAGGAACACACAGAGGTTTATATAAAAGTATCCAGAAGACACTTAAGTTTTTCCAGACTTTTGCCTTGCTTGAGGTAAGTTTTTTAATCATGTTTTTCTATATTGTAATATTTATCTTAAAATTTTTTGTTGAGTGAAACCAATCTTATTTCACTAATTACATACCTCCTATAGATTTGTTAAATACCAATGCTAACAGGGATTTATTTTATGCTTCATATTATTGATTTGTGATTTTTTTATTTGCTTACAGATAGTCCACTGTTTAATTGGTGAGTGTTGCTTTAATTTTAATTTTTGTTATAAATCGCCTTTAGGGCAATAGCTGACTTGTTTTTCTCCTTAAGGAATCGTACCTACTTCTGTGCTTGTGACTGGGGTCCAAGTGAGTTCAAGAATCTTCATGGTGTGGCTCATTACTCACAGTATAAAACCGGTAAGTGCTGCAGAAGCATCGTCCACCTGAGCCTGCAGGAGAGGCTCTCCTTCGTAGGAATGCAAATATTATCTTTTACAGATTTAGCTTCAGTTAAAAAGGAGTTGGGTTTGAATGTAAGTGTCATTGTTCTTTGACGTAGTGCTTTAGTACAATGACAGAAATAACAAGCAAAGCCAAGTACTGTCATTTTGTAGCCACAATATACTCTCCTCATGTTGACTGGTTTTTAAAATTAATATTCATATTCTGACATAATTAACTGGAAACTTTCTTTTCTATAAAATTTTCTATTAGAGTTACTCTATTTGAGTATATAATTGAAGTTGTCAGTCTAAACAGTTTATTTTTCCTCATTTAGCATTGAGTATTGTAGCATTGGACATAAAAACTAAATGTAGTTCTGGAGAACAAATGGGAAAGATAAAATGAGAAGTTGGAAGGGAGTTAAAGGACACAGAATTTCAGTTAGGGGAATATGCTTAAGAACACTATTGGATGGCAGAAGGTAAGTTCAAGAGTCCATTGTACAACAACAGAGCTGTTGTTAATAACAGTGTATTGTGTGCTGAGACGGTAGCTGTTGAGTGTTCTCACCACAAATAAATGATAAGTGTGTGAGGTGCTGCGTGGTAATTAGCTGACGTAGCTATTCAGTGATTGCATCCGTGTTTCAGAACAACAGGTTTCGCAGTGTTAATATGCACAATTGTAATTGGTTACTTAAAAATGATTTTTAAAAGGATTAACAAAATTGGAAAAGAATAAACTGTTGATTGAAGCATGATGAGAGACAGACCTAATGACAGCTGATGAATAGCTTAAACCTTTGAGGCACAGGGAACGCCATGCTGACTATCAGAAGATTGGCGCTGCTTACGCCCATGATAGGCATTTCCAGTTCTACTCACTGACCTCCCAGACAGCCTTCCCAGTCCCCATCCACCTGAGGACAGGTTGGGCCTCCTTCATACACCTCTGATGCCTGCTTGTCTCCTGTGTGCTCTGGGACTGACACTAGCCTCTTGTCAGTTTCCTAGTAGCTGCCCTGGGCTCCTTCCTGCCCGGGAACAGATCACTGACCTGCTGACCTCTCTAGCACTCTACAGTTAGCCATCTTGATTCCTGTCTTTTACCCAGCCCACTTGATCCACCTGGTCCCTACTGGAGAGAAGCCAGCACATGCCACATGGAGAGCCAGACTGTGTGTTCAGTACAGTTGCTTTGTAGTTTAAAAGCGGGAGCACAGCATTGACAGAGTAAAAGAGACTATCTCGGGCAGTGAGTGAGTGTAATAACTGGGCCAGGACCACAAGGATTCTTGAGAATGAAGATAAAGAAACATAAAGACAGTGCGGCCAGCATTAGAAAAGCTAAAAGGGCCATTGCTGTGGTGTGGCAGGTAAATCCACTGCCTGCAGCGCTGACATCCCATGTGGGCATTGGTTCGAGTCCCAGATGCTCCACTTCGGATCCAGCTCTCTGCTATGGCCTGGGGAAGCAGTAGAAGGTGGCCCAAGTCTTTGGGCCCCTGCACCCGTGAGGGAGACCTGGATGAAGTTCCTGGCTTCTGGCTTTGGATCAGCACAGCTGTGGCTGTTGCGGCCAATTGGGGAGTGAACCAGTGGATGGAAGACTTCTTTCTCTCTCTGCCTCTCTGCTCTCTCTGTGTAACTCTGACTTTGAAATAAATAAATAAATCTAAAAAGATAAAAAAAAGAAAGAAGCTAGGGAGTGTAGAGAGTGGCAGGTACCAAGGAAACAGCATCCATTTGATCTTTTTATTCTCCCAGGGATCTCTGCCTTAATGTTACTGTTTCTTTCTTTCTTTATTTTTTTTTTTTTTGGTTGACTTTCTCTTTTGCTTTTCTTTTTTCTTTTTATTTTTTAATTTTTTGACAGGCAGAGTGGACGGTGAGAGAGAGACAGAGAGAAAGGTCTTCCTTTGCCGTTGGTTCTCCCTCCAATGGCCGGCGTGCTGCAGCCGGCGCACCGCGCTGATCTGATGGCAGGAGCCAGGTACTTATCCTGGTCTCCCATGGGGTGCAGGGTCCAAGTACCTGGGCCATCCTCCACTGCCTTCCCGGGCCACAGCAGAGAGCTGGCCTGGAAGAGGGGCAAACGGGACAGAATCCGGCGCCCCGACCGGGACTCGAACCCGGTGTGCCGGCGCCGCAAGGCGGAGGATTAGCCTAGTGAGCTGTGGCGCCGGCCACTGTTTGTTTTCCTCGGACAATAGATACCCTTTGGGACCTGTATCCCACTCTGTAATTAATTCAGCCAACACTCTTATCTATTTAAATTTTTACTTACTCTCATTTTTCTTTAAAAGGCAGAAAGCCAGATCATTTATTCACTGGTTCACCTCCCAAATGCCTGCAACAGTCAACTGGGCTTGACTGAAGCCCAGAACTGGGAACTCAATCCAGGTCTCCCACGTGGGTGGCTTGAACTCAAGCACGTGAGTCATCACCTACGGCCTCCCAGGGTGTACACAGCAGAGAGCTATGCTCAGAAGCAGAGCTGGGACTTAAACTTAGGCACTCAGATACGGGATGCAGGTGTTTCAGGGGGTGTCTTTTCTTTCTTTCCTTTTTTTTTTAGATTTCATTTATTTATTTGAGAGGTAGAATTACAGACAGTGGGAGGGAGAGATGGAGATAAAGGTCTTCCATCTGCTGGTTCACTCCCCAAATGGTCATAATGGCCAGAGCTTAGCTTATCTGAAGTCAGGAACCAGGAGCTTCTAGGTCTCCCATGTAGCTGCAGGGGCCCAAGGGCTGCTTTCCCAGGCCATAGCAGAAAGCTGGATCGGAAGTGGAGCAGCCAGGGACTCGAACCAGCAACCGTATGGGATGCCGGCACTGCAGGTGGCTGCTCTTCCCGCTACGCCACAGCGCCAGCCCCACATTGCTTCTTTAATGTAGCGTCTTTCAGATAATTGGTGGCTTTTTGGATATGCCTACCCCTGATGGCCTGGACAGTTTCTTGAGTGTTTCCAAAGTGGACGTGAAGATCTGAATCTCTTGATTTGCATGATTTTATGGGGTTTTCTGGGTCAAGTCAGTAACAAACTGTTTCTATAGATCACAAGGGCATCTTAACGGTTGCAACCAACACCACCTCCAACCAACATTGCTTGGATTCATTCTGTACACTTAGCTCTGTGCTGAGTTCTGGACTTAGAAAAGAAACAGGCAATTGCAGCTGTCAAATGTCCTGGCTATGGGAAAGTGGGGGCAGTCAGACAAACATTGAACCTTATAGCATGTTAACTGCACACGTTCTGGGCTTGCACTGTCTGTGTTGGGGGTGTGACTCCTTACAGTACAAACAGGACTCCCACCTTGTGGAGCCTGTAACGGGGTAGTTATACAAATACTTAGTAAATTCTGCTAGCATCAAGTGCTTTGAAGCAAGCAGTGTACGTTGCAGGATAGCGACGGACTCCGTCTGATCCTCAGAAGTGATGGAAGGCTTCCCAAGGGAGGAGCATTATCTGCTGCACAGCAGCTAGCCAGACAAATCCTGGTGCAAACTGGCAAGTGGGATAGAGAAGGGAGGTGAGCAGGGAGCTAACTGCTCAGGGAGAGTGGGAGCTTTGGGAAAAGCTTTCCACAGGGTGTGAGGTTGTAGCAGAATCTTGAAAGATAGAGGGTTTTCTGTGGGAAGCCATGAGGAAGTAGCATTCTTACTAGAGGGGATCAGCACGTGTGAAGACATGAAATTCAGAGGTTCTGGAAGCCACACAAAGCTTAGCATCACCAGAGAAGTCGATAGAAGGGATGAGCGGTTGTAAATGAGAGAGCTGCCTGGGCTCCGGTTGTAGCGAACCTTGACTGTTTCGCTCAGGTGTCAAGAGTTCATCATTTCATCCTGTTGCATGGTGGGGGAACCAGTGAAACTGATTCCAGTGTGTTTCGTGGGTTTTTTCTTTCTTGTATCTATTTTATTTTTAAGAGGAAACTTTCATCCATGAAGAATATATAGAGGGGAAAGATTATTTAAGAGGCCATTAGAATAGTCTGGATGCGAGATCAGTGCCTGAATTAAATTAGTGGTACTGGGACAGAGATGAGTGAGCAGCAGGAGTCGGTGTGAGTGTTAGGGATAGAATAGGTATGAGTCAGTGACTAACACAGGTAGGAGAGTCAGATTCCAGGTTCTCATTAGAGGACATGAGGATGTCCTGGGATGGTGGAGTGAAGAAAACCAATCTGAATTTGACTGTTTTTGTATATAGGACATACTTAAGTTTCATGGCTATAACTATGTAATAGTGACAGCATTGTTTTCTTTATTGCATTTGTCTAACCTGAACATTCCATTGTAATAAAAGATAACAAATCATTAGAAAGAAATATCTTCATTGAAACCTAAGTTCAAGGACACCGTGGTTGAAGGACACTGTGGATTTTTCTGTAATTCTGCAGATCCAGAATGAGGAGAGTGTGGTGCTTTTTCTGGTCTCGTGGACTGTGACAGAGATCACTCGCTATTCCTTCTACACATTCAGTCTTCTCGACCACTTGCCATACTTCATTAAATGGGCCAGGTGGCAATGTCTTGCAGTTTAGTTTCTCACTGTCTTGTGCATGCTTATTTTGTGTGCTGAGCTAACACCCAATTAAAATTTGTGTTTAAGTCTCATGATGTCAGAATGCTGTTTTGTTTTGGATATTAGCAGTGTTATAATTTATATTCCAAAATCTTACTGTAATGATTAGAGATGAATCACATTAATGTATGTTTGGAGTGAAACCAATATAAGACAAGTTATATGACTATCCTTAACCTCAGAATTGAACATCCACTTTTTTTTTTTTTGGACAGGTAGAGTTACAGAGTTATAGACAGTGAGAAAGAGAGAGAGACAGAGAGAAAGGTCTTCCTTCTGTTGGTTTACCCCCCAAATGGCCGCCACGGCCGGCACTGCGCCGAGCTGAAGCCTGGGGCCAGGTGCTTCCTCCTGGTCTCCCATGCGGGTGCAGGGGCCCAAGCACCTGGACCATCTTCCACTGCCCTCCTGGGCCACAGCAGAGAGCTAGCCTGGAAGAGGAGCAACTGGGACTAGAACCTGGTGCCCATATGGGATGCTGGCACTGCAGGCAGAGGATTAACCAAATGAGCCACAGCGCTGGCCCAAACATCCACTTTTAAAATAGTATTTCTATGAGAGGCAGTTAGAGAGATAGAGATAGACGGACAGAGAGTTCTCATCTGCTGGTTCAGTCCTCAAATGCTTCCATGACTTGGGCTGGGCCAGGACCAAAGCTGGGAGCCAGGAATGCATCCAGGTATCCCATGTGGGTGGCAGGAACCCAATTACTTGAACCATCACTACTGTCTCCCAGTCTGCATCAGCAAGAAGCTGAAATCAGGATCTTGACTCAGAAACGGAACTCAGACACTAGGTCATCCATCGAAAGCACATTGTGCATTTTTGAAATTATGTAAATAAACTATCAAAATATGATATTTTATCCAGTTGCTTTAAATTGCTGTTCAATCTAACACTTGCAATTTTTGTTTTTTTTATAAATATAATTTTTTTTTACTTTAGGTAGCAAACGCAGACCTTCATAAAAGCACAGTTACTTGAAATTGCGTTATTTGGAATCTGGACAAAATTTATATTTCAGTAGTTCCAAATATATCTATTTTTAAAATATTTATTTATTTATTTGAAAGGCCGAGATATAGAGAGGCAGAAAGAGAGAGAGAGGGAGGTAGGTCTTTCATCCACAGTTTCACTCCCCAGATGGCTGCAATGGCCAGAGCTGGGCCCATCTGAAAGCCAAGAGCTTCCTCTGGGTTTCCCACGTGGGTGCAGGGACCCAAAGACTTGGGCCATCTTTCAGTGCCTTTCCAGGCCACAGCAGAGAGCTGGATTGGAAGTGGAGCAGCCGGGACTAGAACTGGCACCCATATGGGATGCTGGTGCTGTAGGCAACGGCTTCACCTGCTACGCCACAGTGATGGCTCCCAAATATATCTATTCTAAAGCAACAGTTTTTAAAGCAAAAGATACCCTTTTCTTTTTGAAATTTGGATTCTCTGAACAACTGATACTTTACAAAAGTTATAAATACAGAACTGCTCTTTGGAGAAGAAATCATGAACTAGTATAGATTTGTTCATTCTGTTCTCTATTTTATATTTATAGTAGCAATAATAATAATAATAATGGCAAATAGTGTGTACTTACTGAACACCTGAGATGCAGGCATGAACAAAATCATGCGTCCTCTCAAGATAAAGACAGAAAACAACCTAATAGATAGATGGCTGTGTCAGGTAGAGGCCACTGCAGGATGAGCAGGTAATATATTTTCCTTGTAAGAAGTTCAAACAGTATAGAAGTGTATGGAATACAGGTAGAATGTTCCTGTTTGTACTCCTACCAACCCACTCTCTTCCCATGGAGGAAACAGTTTGGAGTTTATCCATCTAGACTTTTTTATATTACAAAAAAACACAGATGTGAGTTTTTAACACATCAATACATTTGCTTTTTATTTATATCTTTGGGGCTCTTTGTTCTTTTTACTCAGTACATCTTAGTCTAACTCTTTCATGGTGCACAGCATTCCTCAGTGTGACTGAACCAGTTCTCTATTGCTAGAATGTACATCATGTTGTCTTCTAATACTACAAAGAATGCTTTGAGATACAAAATGCTCTGTATTTCTGTTTATTTTTTAGTACTTTGGCATTTCTTAATTTGAGGATGATCCTGAGCTAGTTGAGTTAAAAGCCTAATATTTTTCTTAAGTGGTAATTTCCTTTTTATAACTCATTTATTAAACATTGTTAAATATAATAAACTAGGATTTATAAATAAACTTAGAACAGGAAAAAAACTTTAAAATTACTATAATCTGAACATAAGGATAAATATTGTTAATATTATTTGTTCTTTCAGACTATTTAAATATTTCTAGTTCTTTTATAGATATTTGTGGTACAATTGTGGCTTACTTCTTTGCATATAATAAAATACTTGCTAATTGTAAACTGAGCTCTGCATATATCATCTTTCATAGCAAGTTTTGCTACCATTTCTGTGTTTGGTTGGCATTATTCCTACTGTCGGTGAGAACATGCTCACTTCTGCTGCATGGGCTTGTCTGTACACTAATCCTGGAGTGTGTGTCGGTGTGATTTTTCAGGACAGTCTTCTGAACTTGCAGTACCTTCAAAAGTACTAATTCATCATATAATCACCTTTCCTGGGCCGTACTTGCATAATTTGTTTGAATGCACACTGCACATTTTCCATAGTCCAAGCTCATTAGTCTTTCATGCTTTGTCTGTCTGCATTTTGGAATGTGTTTGCATGTCCTGAATTTCTGAGAAAGTTCAGAACTCTGCCATTGCATGTTTAAATGGCTGGTTTAAAGAACATTTGTGTACTGCTTCAGTGTTAAACAAGATATTATCAGATCTTTACTTTGCAGTGCATGTTAGAATATTATCATGTCAGTTAATTTAAATCATGAATAATTAGATCTCATGTGTAAAAATCTTAAGAATCTCAGAAATCTAAATATATTTGCCAACCTTGTTAAGTAACCTAAAATAAGAGTTATATTCAAGTATTAAAACTGTTACTCTCAAAGGAAATTTCCCTTTTGGAATGGCTTCTTATAAACAGTTTGCCCTACTGGTTTCAATATACTTTTTATTCTATTTGTGTGTTAAAAGTGTTCCTGGAAAAGGCCAAAGAACAGATAATTGTATATTGAATTATCTTTGTCTTATTGATTTCCATTTTAATTTAAAATATTCATTCCCTTGAAAAAATTTTAGGTGGCAATTGAGAATCTTCAAGAAAATGCTGTATCTTTTGTTGAATGTGGTCTATAAATAGTTAAATCTCGCATTACTGCCCTTAGAACTTAGACATTTAGTGACATGAAATCATTTTAAGGTGCAGATAAAGTCAGATAAATCACATAGTTTGTTCCTTCACATTAGAAACTGTCACTGTCTTTAAGGCTTTAACCTACTTTATTCTATGAGTGATTTTTTTTTTCTGTTTAAGAACAATGGTACCAGAAAAATCATGTGAAAGCTAGTAAAGTAAAACAACAGTAGAAAAAACAACTTAGTCTCTTTGGATGTTTTATTTGGGAAGGGAATATAAAGGTTCAGTTATTTGACTTCAAAAATTGAGATAGGAGCACTATTTAATTGATATACACAACTACACACGACTTGCAAGAAAGTAGGTGCATTCAAGGCAAGCACAGCGAGGCTATAAGTGCACAGTAAAGGAATCGTTCTTTCTATAACAGTTAATCTATTTAGGCAGATACTACCATCTCTTACCTTCCTGTAGTCATGGCCTGCGGGAGTCAGGAGATTTTTAAGTTTTATCCAAGCTTTTTCAGAACTCATAAATTTATTTCATTTTTTGAATAGATATTTCTTGGTATTTGTTTATTTGTTTAAGATTTGTTAATTTGAAAGGCAAGAGTGAGAGAGAGAGAGAGAGAGAGAGAGATCTTCCATCCACCAATGCACAGCCCTGCGAACAGCTGGGGCTGGGCCAGGCCTAAGCCAGGAGCCTGGAACTCCATCTGGGTTTTCTGCATAGGTGGAAGGGGCTTGAGAACTTAAGCTGTCCTCTGCTGCTTTCCTGGGTGTATTAGCAGGGAACTGGACCAGAAGAGCAGCCAGGACTCCAGCCTGTGCTCCAGTATGGGATACCTGTGCTGTGGCTGCTGCTGAGCCACAATGCTGGCCCCTTTTAGATATTTCTTAATGCCAACAAAACAATTAAATGAAGTACAGATTCACTTGATGTCTTTTCTATCAAAATTGTGACCGTAATCTTCTGTGCTGTTATGTAATGGTTGACTTGGTAAGAACTGATTTTCCTCACTGGAGGGGTGTCATTGTCTTAGATCTTTGAGCCCTTCCTGTTGGAGACAGTAAAACACAGGCTCTTCCTCCCAGAGGCATAAATGATGCCTAATCCACCTTGGTTTGGAGTCCTTGCCACAACGCAATTGGACAGATAGTGACTGGCAGCTTGAATATAACTTTCTCAGTTCTGTTTTAAGCTTGCTAGCTATTCCTTGAGTGGGAGAATTCAGGAGGTAACTTACTTTGTTATGAAAGCAATTTTAGACAATCTACACATTAGTAGTTACTGATGCTTTAGGAAGTATGATCAGTTTTCTGCAATAGTAATTATGTATTTTACTTTTTAGTAACTGTACAAAGTTTGCCACTTTGATAATTAGCATATTTAGAATTAAAATCAGGATCTTAACTGTTTTTTTTTTAAATAAAGATTTATTTATTTATTTGAGAGGTAGAATTACAGACAGAGAGAGGGAAAGACAGAGAGAATCCACTGGTTCACTCCACAAATGGCCACATCAGCTAGAGCTGGGCTGATCTGAAACCAGGAGCCAGGAGCTTCTTCCATGTCTCCTACATGGGTGCAGAGGCCCAAGCACTTGGACCATCTTCCACTGCTTTCCCAGGCCATAGCAGAGAGCTGGATCAGAAGAGGAGCAGCCGGTTGCGAACTGGTGCTCATATGAATTTTGGCGCTTCAGGCTGGGGCTTTAACCTGGTGTGCCACAGCGCAGGCCCCAGTACTCATAGTTTAAAAAACTGCATATACATTTTTAAAATTTCTAAGTGTACTTCTATTTCAATACTGTAAAGTAAGTTGACTTTTTTGTTTTATGAAGACCTTGCCTTTTGAAATGGAAACTGCTATAGAAGAAAGGGTGATAATTAGCAAGCAGGTGATTAAAGTAGAAAAATTAACGTTTTGTGAGGTTGTAATAAGTATGTACAGAAAGAAAAATTTTCAAGTTTAAATACCAGAAGTAACAAAACAACCATGATATAAAATCGAGTAGTTTTTCTAGAAAAATAATTCTCTGAGGTTTTTCTTTCTCTAGATATAATTTTTTTATCATCTTATATCCTGTTGGAGTTGCTGGTGAACTTCTTACAATATATGCTGCCTTGCCGTATGTGAAGAAATCGGGGATGTTTTCAATACGACTTCCTAACAAATACAATGTCTCTTTTGACTACTACTACTTTCTTCTTATAACCATGGCTTCATATATACCACGTAAGTATATATTTCTGTTAGTAGTTTGTTTTAGCATATGATGTGAGGGTTTTTGATAGCTACCAGTGAGCAAGGAAAGATAATAAGAAATAACTTGCTTACAAATATGTTAAACCTTATATATTCAATCCCAAATTTATTCATTACTTGTGATAATCAAAGGGGTAGTGAGTCAGAGACCTTACTGATGATGAGAAAAAAGGTAAGTGAATTGATATACAAATGATTGTTTTTTCAAAGTCATTTAAAAGTATGCTTAGTATGATTAGCTTTTTAAAACATGCATCAAGGAATGATTCACAAGCATTTAGAATTCTATTCAGGAAAATTTCAGACCATTTCTATTTGTGAAGAACAGACTTGGACAGATCATCCAGGAGTTCTATTTAGTTCTGTTTGTATTACTCTATATACTTGAAAGTAATAATGCTGCTTTTTGAAAGATACTTTGAATAATTCAGACTCCTCCCTAATTTCTCATCATCTCTCAGTGGTTGCTGTGAATTAGGGAGGTTTTAGTCACTTCATGAAAGCATTGAGTAGTGATAGATTTTTAGGTCAAATTTTGGTAGTCACCGTCATGAAATGTGACCCTTCTTAATAAAATTATTTTCCCTTCTTTTTTTTTTTTTTTTAGACAGGCAGAGTGGACAGTGAGAGAGAGAGAGACAGTGAGAAAGGTCTTCCTTTGCCGTTGGTTCACCCTCCAATGGCCACCGCGGCAGGCGCGCTGCAGCTGGTGCACCGCGCTGATCCGATGGCAGGAGCCAGGTACTTTTCCTGGTCTCCCATGGGGTGCAGGGCCCAAGGACTTGGGCCATCCTCCACTGCACTCCCTGGCCACAGCAGAGAGCTGGCCTGGAAGAGGGGCAACCAGGACAGAATCTGGCGCCCCGACCGGGACTAGAACCCGGTGTGCTGGCGCCGCAAGGCGGAGGATTAGCCTAGTGAGCTGCGGCGCCGGCCTTTCCCTTCTCGATAAAGTGAGAGACCGATGTTAGTAGAGAGAAAAAGGAAAGGAGAAAGTTTATAGAATTTGAAGTCTGCATTGACGCAGTGTGAAATGTTTCATTGAATGGAAGTGAGCATAAAACTGGGCCAGCCCCTTGAGGTCTCCAACTTTAAAGCGTTTCAGAAACCAAAATTGACTTAATAGTCAGAGCGTGTTTTCCCCCTTATCTCTGTCAATTAAGCAGGAGTCTGTGTCAAGTGTTCCACCTGAGCCACGTCAGGAGTGCTTAGGGGGTTAATGCACTGTTCACGCTCCTTGCCTTTCTCAGCACCTAATGAATGGTAGCAGGCCTTGAGCAGAGCTGGGCACGTTAGGTGTCTGTCATATACACATAAGGCCTCGGGTTTTCCCTCTTCTCGTGACCACTGAAGCATCTGCACAGAAACCCAGGTTCCCAACGCTTCAGCTGCAAACTGGTAGCCTTTGGCTGTGTTAGACTCAGGCCTGTGCCGGTAACAGCTTCCCAGGTCAGCAGGCTGAAGGGTTCTGAGAGGCCCACTTGCCCGAGTGTCCTCCAGCCAGGAAGATGGATCTCTACCCGGACATCCATAGCAGAAGTTGTATCAACTAACTGCGCTTGGCTTATCAATTTCCTTGCTATTTAAAAGTACTCTTTACATATGTTAGTACTTAGAGGATGTGACATTATTTCTTATTTGCCAGTGAGAGCATTCCGGATGAGAGAGATTAAGTGAATTGCTTAAAAATCACCCACCTGGTAAATCAAGCCGGGATTAGTGCTCAAGCTCACACATTCTATTAAACTCAGATTTTAAAGAAGTATTTGCAATACTTGGTCAGTTAGCTTTAAGTGTACATGACCTGAACATATTTAGTCCACCAGATGTAACACAGTGGCTACATTTATCAAGATGAGAAGTACCTAAATAAAAAAAAGAGAGAGAACACCTTTTATGTGCATTTTTGCTCCATTGGAGTTGCATTCTAAAAACTTTTTATCCAGAATTGTGTAAGCAAGACACTCAAAGCTGGTTTTGTGATTAGGTTTATTGATTTGGTTACTCTTTGTATCATTTTCAGACATTTTTACATTTGTATTGAGTACAGTTAATTTGTTGACTCACTAGCATTTATACTGAGCTTTAAAGCTTTGGTTTGGTTTAATATATTCTGTGCATCTGATTGGACAGATTACCATTTGTCCAGCTGACCTTATCCATTTAGGTATTTGTATATAAAAGACTAACTCCCCTTAGACCCAGCCATGAAGACTGTGAGCTGGGCGCTGTTGAGAGGGCCCTGCTGTGCCCCTTCACTGGTTACCCCTCCATCCAGTACCCCACCTTCTCCTAGGTCCCATTCTGGAAACTGGCGGTCATGGCACCTGCTGCCCCGTGTGCACATCTGGGTCTGTATAGGCCTTTGTCCGTGTGCTCACTGTCTCACCTGGGTTTGCACCCTGAGATCACAGCTTAGCCAAGGTGTGGAGGAAGCTTGGATGTGAGACCCCTCCTGGTACAGGAGACAGCCAATAGAGCAGAGAGAAAGGCCCTGTGAGCCAGCTTTGCTTTACTGGAATGTTTTGGCACGATATTATAAGGAATTGAAGAATTCTAATTCAAACATGACTTCCAAGGTCATTTTGAAGGTGTATTTATCAAGGTATTTAAGTATGCTTAAAAACTCAACAGTACATGGTATTAAAATACTTAAGCATGAGGGATGTGGGCCTCCCATAGTACTCTTCCGCCTTCCTCTGATCTGTGTGTACTAGGCAGGTAGCCAAGGTCTGTAACGTTAAGCAGGTTTCATATGTAAGTTTGTCATTCTTTGTTTTCTTTTTTTGATAAAGTGTTTCCACAACTCTACTTTCATATGTTACGACAAAGAAGAAAGGTGCTTCATGGAGAGGTGATTGTAGAAAAGGATGATTAAAGATCCCTACAAACAAGGTGCTTTTTCCAGAATAACCAGGATTACTTGAGTCCAAGTTTCCATAACAAGAATAAACAACTTCATGAAATATCGTGGATTGTATTGTTTCTTAAAATATAACTTGAGACACATGGTGTTTGCTGATATTTGTCTTCATACTGTGCCAGGTTTATTTTTTTACAAGAACTATGCAAAAACTATCAGCTCCTAGGTGGGTGTTGATGAGTAATTGAGAGAGTTACCTGGGGAAAAAACTTGTTCCTTTTACTAGATTTTTGTGCAACGCAGGTTCAAAGCTTTTGGAATCAATATTTAGAAATTAGTTTAGTGATTTAACATTAGGACACCTGCCAGTGATATTTATGTGGTATTTAGAAATGAAAGTAAGTATAAAATTATAATCATTGATTAATGTATTGGTATTTTTCAGCTCACAATCTTATTTTTTCAGGTTATAAGGCAGCATTTATGATTAATAACGATCTTGGAAATTGGAACATAATTTGTTACAGACTTCCGATGTAAAGTAGCACCAAAAATATTCAAGTAGCTGTCACATTCGGAAAATATTTTTTGAAAATATTTTCAGGCCATTGGAATTCTTTAATACCATTAAGTGTATTTATTTTTTTTGAATTAACCATTTCAGGACATTTCTAACTACAAAGATTTTTAAGAGGTTAGAAAAAAATACAAGTGTATATACTTTGCCCCACTGAGAAAAAAGAATAATAAAATGACATCAAATCATTATGTTGTGCTTAGAACTCTGATGGAGAAAGGCTGCTGTATACTGTGGAATTATAAAGATCATGTTACAAATAATCCTTTGTGGTTCTTAGGAATCTGGAAGTTTTAGGGTAAGATCTGAAACAGACTTATTTTATTCTGAATTCCATTGAGTAGCAAAAAAGTCTTATAATAAAGCTCCTATCCTCATCTTTAATAAAAAGTTACACTGATGATACCTTAATCCTGCTTTAATTCCTAAGTAGGTCCTTTAAAAATGTTCCCTCCTCTATCAAAGTATGCTGATGTATTGACCCTTGTTTAGAGAGAGTATTAAATATGTGGCTTTTAAAAGAACAGGAATTTTTTTGCCCACCATATAGATACCTAGGTGTAGTTCTGGCTTTAACTGTTCTGTATTGTTTACATTTACAATTAACATGTAACATTACACTTCTTAAAATTGCTTGAGTTCTGCATTATCATTTCCTTTACTGATTTTTCTCATGTAGAGATTTGTAGTGCAAAATATTTTTATGCAAAACTTTCATTTTAAATGACTTGGTTTTTTAAAGGTGCTATTTATTTTGTTATATTTAATGTTTTCAGCTAACTTTTAATGAGCAATATGTATTAGATTACTAATTCTCAAAGTGCTAATGTTCATTCTGCTCTTATATCATCACTTGATCATTTCATCTTGAATTTTTATATGGAAGAGATTTTCAGGCAGGTTGGTGATATAGTATAATAAATTGACATACTTATTTTTATTAAATGCCTGTCTGGCAAGAACTGTTTTAAATAATATTTCTAAAATTTGCATTAATTCATCTTGTACTCCCTTCAAACAGCGATAATACTGTTTTCCTCTTCAAATTGTGGAATGTCTTAAAAGTAGGAATTGTCATTAACTTTAATAAAAATGAAAACATTAAACTCTGGTGAACCATATTATTAATATACTCAAATTATGTCTAAACCTTAGTTTATCGTCAATATCTTCTAGATTTTACCAATTTCCAACTGTCATTTGCATAGAAAATAAAGTGTGGAATGGTAGTTCAGTTTTAAAAAGTGTTTGAAATGGCTTTGCATTTGTTTCCTGTGACTACTTCTGGAATTTCTCCCTAAGTCACTGTTAGCTTCAGCGTACAAATCAGAACTTGACCAAAATGGGACTCTACTTCAATCCTGTAGATGTTTGCATTTGAAAAACATCTACCATGAAAACTTGGTAACAGCAAAATGCAGTTGTATTTGGTGGCATTCCTTAAAATTCTGGTCATTTCCAGTTTTTCTTAGCTTTATAACTTGATATATTATGCACTATGGATGCGTAGAAATGTCTTCTAAGTTTTAACTTCAAATCAATGCAGCAACATCCCTCTTAAGCTACAACTTTTAAAAAAATGTAAAAATAAACATGAGAATATAATTTTTACCAAAAGCCTTTGTTACTTGCCCACTGTAGGTTTTCGGGTGTGTTATTTTTAATCTTTAGATGTTCAAGTATCCTGATTTTTTTTTAGGATGTATTTATTTTACTTGAAAGTCACAGTTATGGGGCCGGCGCTGTGGCTCACTTGGTTTATCCTCCACCTGCGGTGCCAGCATCCTACACAGGCGCCAGGTTCTAGTCCTGGTTGCTCTTCTTCCAGTCCAGCTCTCTGCTGTGGCCCGGGAAGGCAGTGGAGGATGGCCCAAGTGCTTGGGCCCCGCACCCGCATGGGAGGCCATGAAGAAGCACCTGCCTCCTGGCTTCGGATCAGCGCGGTGCGCCGGCTGCAGTGGCCATTTGGGGGTTGAACCAATGGAAGGAAGGAAGACCTTTCTCTCTGTCTTTCTCACTGTCTAACTCTGTCAGTCAAAAAAAAAAAAAAAAAAAAGTCACAGTTACACACAGAGAGAAGGAGAGGCAGAGAGAGAGGAAAAGAGGGAGGGAGAGGTCTTCATCCACTGGTTGACTCCCCAGATTGCTGCAGTGGCTGGAGTTGCACTGATCCGAAGCCAGGAGCTTCTTCCGAGTCACCCATGTGGGTGCAGGGGTCCAAGGACTTGGGCCATCTTCTTCTGCTTTCCCAGGCCATAGCAGAGAGCCAGATCAGAATGGAGCAGCCGGGTCTCGAACTGGTGCCCATATGGGATGCTGGCACTGCAGGTGGTAGCTTTATCCACTAAGCCACAGCACCGGCCCCAAGTATCCTGATTTTTGTGCTGCTGTGCATGGTCTGTTGCAAGTGATACAGAATTTTGCAGTACTCCTTTTTTTCCCCCAGAAATACTTATTTTGCGCCTACAGCGTGCCAAGCACTGTCACGGGGAATTAACGTCTTCCTCTTGTCTCTGTCCCTCCTCCCAGGTAGATCTCTGGCCCGATTGCTAGTTTAGATTGGTTAGGAAGTCACATTGCAAAATGATTACCTGTGTTACAGAAATCTGAGGTGGGAAGACTCCCTTTGTTCAAACAGACACCAGAGATGGTGGAGGATCGAAGCAGTTTATTACGCCAGCGGGCTCAGCTGGAATCATTTCCCGAGAACTGAGCAACAATCCCAAGTTTCTTACAATATTTATAGGTTCATCAGCATCATACCTTAGCTGTTAGAGTATTGGTGGGTTTAAATTGCAGCCTACATGACTTAGGACCACACTCCCATAGTCAGTGGACCCGGCATGTTTGTAAAAGAGATACCAGGGGCAGATTTATTAGGACAGATTTATGACTGGAGTTTACAGAAGCAGAACTTCTTCCCTCCCTAGACAAGAAAACAGCGGGCTGTTGCTTCACTAGTTAATTGCAAACAGCCACTTTTCAAGGTCTGTGTTGGGAGGAGGAGTCTACTTCTCTTTGTCTCTGTGGCCATATTTCCTCTACACCTGTGTTTACAGTACAGTGCATTTGTAATGTAATGGGTTGAATTTCTTTGTTCTAAGTGTACAAGTTTATCAGATCACCAATAAATATATAATACTCTGGTTTGAAACTACTTGAAACTCAAAATCAGTTATGGGTTATAAGATTGATAAAACAATCATTAAGGGATCATTGAAGAAAAAAATAACTAAAAAGCAATGTAAACGATTTTTCAAATGAATACGCCAAATATGCTTTCCTTTCATACAGATGTGGATTATACATAGAATTGATGGAATAAAAAAGTTTTGTATTTCTAGTGTGAAGGCATTTTATATACAAAATTTAAAATATAACAGTATTTTTATATTTTATATAACAATATAAAAATAGACATGAGTAGTTAGTCTATGAAGCTTAAAATATATTCTAAAAATTTTAGATTTTTATTTTAGTGTTTCTGTTGTAACTTTATTTTTTAACAGATTTTTATTTATTTGTAAGGCAGGATGAGAGAGAGGGACAGAGACAAAGATCTTCCACCCACAGGTTCACTCCCCAAATGCCCACAACACAGGGCTGGGCCAAGCCAAAGTCAGGATCCTCAGATTCACATTGGGCTTCTCACGTGGACAGCTGGGACCCAAGTACTGGAGCCATCTCTTGCTGCCTTTCATGGCGCACCTTAGCAGAAGCTGGAATCAGGAGCAGAGCTGGGTCTCGAAGCCAGACACTTGGATATAGGACGCAGGTGGCCCAGTAGCATTTTTTAAAGAATTATTTATTTACTGGAAAGTCAGAGTTAACACAGAGAGAGAAGAGGCAGAGAGAGAGATCTTCCATCTGCTGGTTCACTCCTCAGTTGGCCGTAGTGGCTGGAGCTGTGCTGATCCGAAGCCAGGCCCAAAGATTTGGGCCATCTTCTACTGCCTTCCCAGGCCATAGGATAGAGCTGAATTGGAAGTGGAGCAACCAGGACTCAACCAGTGCCCATATGGAATGCCAGCACTGCAGATGGCAGCTTTACCCGCTATGTTGCCGCAGTGCCGGCCTCCCCAGTAGCATCTTAAGTGTACCACCAAACAGCCTCCTTGTTGTGTAGCATTAAGAAATGTTATTTATTATTTTGAAAAAAATTCACTTACAGGAAAGTTGCAAGAGTAGTGGAGATTCTCTAAAGCTTTCGTTTGAATTCTCCACTTAGCAAGATTTTGCCACACTTGTTGTGGTGTTCTCCCTCTTCATAATATCTGTGAACCATTTGAGTATAGCTGAAAACTTTCACCTTAATTTTTTCAGTGTGTATTTCCCAAGGAGAAGGACATTCTTACATTGTCAAAATTAGGAAAATTAAGGTGATCAAAGTTAGGAGACCAATACTGATACAGTATCTTTCTCTAGTCCTTAAACCTTACTCCAGCTGGTGGTTCTCTCTGGAGATGGCTGCAATGGCCAGGCCTGGGCCAGGCTGAAGCCAGGAGCTGGAACTCCATCTGAGCCCCCAGTGTGGGTGGCAGGGTCCTGAGCGTTCAGACCATCTACCACGGCCTTTCCAGGTACATTGGCAGGGAGGTAGATCAGAAGTGGAGCGGCAGCTCCCATAGGGGATGTTGGCATCTCAGGCAGCAGCTGAACCCTCTGTGCCACAGCACCAGCCTCTCTGCGAACTTTTGCAAGTACACTTGTGTGTTCTGGGTCAAGAGCCATTCCAGGTTCAGGAATTACATTTAGTTGTCATCTGTTTAGTCTAGAGCCATTCTTTGGTTTTTCTTCACTTTCTCAACTCACAATTTTCAACAGTACAAGAGAGCTGTTTTATGCAAAGTCCCTGAATCTGAGCTAGTTTGATGGTTCCTCATGATTAGATTTCATTTAACTTGTGTACCTTTGGGCAGGAATAATTGATTTTTTCTATTTTCTGGTAATACTAACTTTGATGTTTTAGGGGTTTTGTTTTTTAATGTTTTGATTGCAAAATAGCATACAGGTATTTTAGCAATAGATGGCCTTTTGTTCTAATTCATAGGAGTTTGTGAAATGAGGCATTGGGATCTTTTTACCAGATTAATAGTGTGTGCTCTCACACATGAAGATTGATTTCTTTGTAGGTTCTTAAAAAGTATTAAATTCTGCATATGTAATGCACTTTCCAGGCATATTATTAACTCAGCTTTTTTAAAAAAAGATTTATTTGTTTGAAAGAGTGAGGCAGAGAGAGGGAGAGGTCTTCCATCTGATGGTTCACTCTCCAATTGGCCAGAGCTGCGCTGATCCGAAGCTAGAAGCCAGGAACCTCCTCTGGTCTCCCACACAGGTGCAGGGGCCCAAGGACTTGGGCCATCTTCCATTGCTTTCCCAGGCTACAGCAGAGAGCTGGATCTGAAGTGGAGCAGCCGGGACTCAAACCGGTGCCCATATGGGATGCCAGTGCCTCAGGCCAGGGCGTTAACCTGCTGCGCCACAGCACCAGCCCCTAACTCAGCTTTTATATTGATAAATGTGTCTAGATTATACTTTATAAAATTCTGTGAATATACTTTGATTTTCCTTAGAAGTTCTTTTAACTACAGCATTCTGTTCTACTTTGCTATATACTCTTACCATGTTATTCTGCTCTGCTAAAATTATCCATAGTGCAAGATTGAGATTGCTGTGAAAATACATTTTATTCCTTGATTTGTGATAGTGCCTTACTGCCATATTCTAAAATACAGCTTGGACAATGTAAAAATTAAAATTTATTCTTAAATCTACTTAACACTTTATGGCTTAACTTTGAGGATAACGACTGTAGAAAAATAGTTTTCAGGGGAGGGCCTTGTGGCTCAGTGGTTAAGCTGCTGTTTTAAACTCTCCTGCCCCATGTTGGAGTGCCTGTTTCAAGTCTTGGCTGCTCAGCTTCTGACCCCGCTTCCTGCTAGTGCACACCTTGGAAGGCAGCAGGTGAGGGCTCAAATACCCAGGTCCCTGCTACCTACGTGGGGTGCCCAAATTGAGTTCCGGGATCCTGGCTTCCGCTGGCCCAGCCCTGACTATTGTCAGGCATTTGGGGAGTGAACCAGCAGATGGGCTATCTCTCTTC